GGTTCCCGGTACCCGGCAGCGAGGCGGGCCCTGCCCGGCTGCCGCGGCCCCGGAGTGGGGTGGGCTGCGCCCGGGGGAAGTGCTGAGTAACCCGCGCTAAAGCCGTTTCCCCGGCCCGGGCCGCGGGGTCGAGGTCGGGTCGGCCCGTGAGATGCGCCGAGGATGCGGAGGGAGGCTCCTCTCCCCTCCCCTCCCCTGCGGGGTCCGGCGGGGCAGCGCGGTGCACGCAGGGGAGGCCTTGGCCGACCTCTGGGGGAGCAGAGAGCTCCCTGCCCTGCTCCTCTCCTTGGCCAGCGCGGACACGCGTGGTCGGGGTTGGTTTTCCAGCCCGTGTCCTGGGCAGCGGTTCTCCAGGGCTGGGGGTGCGATGTGGCAGATGAGGCGTGGGCAGGATGCGCTCGAGTTCAGCGACAGGGTCACCCGTGCTGGGGGCGAGCTGCTGCTGAGGAGAGGTGATGTGAGACGTGAAAGTCTGTGGGAACTTTGCTTGGTGAAGGGAATACTTGCGGGGTCTGGCATAGACAGTTCTCTAAAGTCCCCAGCTCAACTATAATAGCGGTTGTTACTACGGCAGCATACTAGTCATGTGATTACACTTCACATGGTTTAGGATTTGGGGTCTTGAGTACCTTCCCCATTAACTCCCAAAATCTCTTTCCTCACCATCTCTTCCCTTCCAGTCCCAGACTGTGCCCTCAACCTTCTTGGGCTGGACACATGCTGAATCCCTCTCACCTGCCCTCCAGGACCAGTTAGTTCACTGTGCAATGAGATGAAGGAGCATCTCAAGCCTTGGTCCGCTTCCTTGCCTGTGTTCCCGGCTCTTGGCTCAGAGGCTACAGACAGCGAAAAAATCTTAAACGTTAACTCTTGAATGGAGCTGCATTTGTCACCACTTGACCCAGCCCCCAATATTATTATAGTGGGTGAATAATATAAACATAATCCTCTGTGCATGTGTTTTAGTGGGACCAAGCATGCTACATTTATAGTTTGAAATTAGGGCAATAAAGAAAAGGTCATACTTTCTGAGAGAGTGGATTCAAAGCTGACTGGCTGGAGAGAACCTTAGTGGGCAGAGGTTGATGAGCAGACACAATCCTGTTCATCTAAAATGCTCTAAAACCTTAGGACCCAACCCCTCTAGTTTTAAAATAGTGAGGATCAAGCTTCTGTGCCTGCCTTTAAGGGGAACCTGCCTCCCAGCAGCTAGACTCCATTATGCTGTGAAGGGGTACAGAAATGTTTAGCATGTTCTTAAACATTTGCAAATCTGCTCTTGTTGAAATCTTCAGAATAAGAAATCCTGGGAAGAATCCTGCCTGATGTCTACCTAGGCTGCCTCCTAAATTTCCAACTGTGGTACTGCTCTTTCTACCTTTTCTTAGAGGGTCTTTTCCTGGATCTCAGCTCCCCTTTCTAAGCGCTTCCCCTTCTGCACTGAAACTGATCCACCACACACCCTTTATAGAAAGGTGCTTTAACTTTGCTATTCAACCTGCTTCAACTTTGCTATTGTTACCTTCTCTGCTGATAAGACTTTATTTCATTTCAGGGAAACTGTTCCCATGGCGTGTGGGGAATGCAGCGTTTCAGCACGTGGTCAAGATCTGGCACGCAAGGATATCAGCCCTTTCCAACACAGAGAACTGAAGTGCAGATAGCAGAACCCAGCTGCGGGGTAAGGGCTGTAGTATAGCTCCCGTGTCAGGAGTTGTAGTGACACGCATCTTGGAATGGCAGCACTTGGGTGTTAGCTCTCTAACTGTAGCTTAAAACATGCAAGGGTGGATATGAGCAATGGCTGTACAAGACCAGATGGAAGTCTCTCTGCCAGCTGGTGCTGAAGAGCAGTAGTAGTACATTACATCTCTTTACCTTTGAGGCACTGCTTGAAGATGGAAGGAATCATGGAACTGAGCATCATTCAAATTGCATTTTGATTGGTACCTTCAACTACATGCCCAGTTCCTAGTCATATGACTATAGATCCATTCTCAGACAAACAAAGCAGATGGTCTTTCAAGGCGTATTCTTAACAAATACCCTAGTGACAACTGCATAGCCAAGGGATTTGTTTGAAAAACAAGCGCTATTCAGTTTAACAGAAGTTCTGCTTTCTTAGGGACCCAGGTGGTTACTGCAGTACAATGCAGGCATCTCCTGGTCAGCTCCAGGTCATAAACTCCATAGGGAGGCATGGTTTAAGGATGCTGGGGTTGGCATGCTGTCCACTTGAAGTGAATGTTCAGTAATTCTTCAGCAAGTAATTTTTCAGCCAGTTTGAAATGTCAGAGACTAGCTCCAAGAGTATTCTGCCTGATTGCTCCTTCATTACAATAGTGGTGAAAGCAAATACAAATCTTTTCTTCCAAGTGAGCTACTGGTCCCAGGGGTGAGAGATCCTGTTCTGGGTGGCTAGAGATGCTATGCATTGCATTTAGAGTGGCATAGTCTGTAAAGAGCTGATCTGAGGTAGCTGGTAGAGCACTGGAAAGAATGTAAGTCTTGATTCTTCATACTTAAACTGCATTCTGAATAGAATTTAAATGCCAATAAGACATTCTATAGCACTTGGGTCTCTCATCTCTAACTGTTAATCTTCATTAAATAACAATTCCTTAAGGAAATCCTGCTTCCAACCCAGGTTGTGGTAACCCTGTTTTGAAATGTAGGTTGCCTAAACTGCTTTTAACGAAGCAAATGATTAAGTGTTGAGCATGTGGTGTTCCTAGGAATATAACAATCCCTGAGTGAGGAGAAATGGTCCCTGGTCTAGGTAATGGTCATTCTAAATTACAGTACAGCTCAGGTGCACAAATCACTGGGTATTTCAGTCATGGTCTACTCCTACAGTGCTGCAGGTTTGGTTTGGTTTTTCAGTTTATCACTCTGGTGCCTTACTGGGGCTTGGTGGAAGGATTTTGTTTCAAGCCGTATTTGAAGGAGAGAGAGAACTGGCAGTCGAGTACTAAATTGATCATAAATGGTGGTCAAAGAGACTAAATGGGGAATTATGAAGGAAGCATTGGTGGAATGCAGGCAGTAGGAATTCTGCAAAATAAACGCAAACCTTTATGGAAATATAGCATGTGGCAGACCCAGGCCACTTGTTTTGGCTGTATGATACAGAAAGGGCATTAGGATGAGCCTTTGCACCTGCATTACTTCTTTCTAAAATGAGACTGAGCTGTGTCAAAGGCTTGATATGTACAAACAAGCTGTTATACCACTAATTTAACCCTAGTTTTCATATAGAAGATGCACAATCTGTTGAAAGCTTCCAGAAAGCTTTTTTTTTTAAAGCTTCATATGCCCTATGCAGATTGTATTGCAACTTGAATTTCAGCTGCTCTAGCTGGGTTGTGTAATCTTACTTTTGGTTCTTTTTGCTATCGGACAGCATTTGAGATTAAAAGCTATTCAGCCATGGCCTCGCTGGTGTGAAAACACACTGCTGCTTTATGTACTAAGCATTATCAATGCTCCATATAAAATTAGACTTGCACTTCATAGGAAGTAGCTTCCTGTAGATACTGCTCACCTTTGTGCATGGTAAGATATTGGGGACAGGACTAGATAGCATGTTTCCCTCTAGAGTCTTGTCCTCATCAGCAGCTGGGTGACAGATGAGGGACAGGTAAGTTGTGATTACTACTCTCTGCCTGGGAGAGGTCTGGAAGTGTTCCAAGCTTGGTATTGCAGTTACTGGAATTAGAATACTTTGGATATCTGTCCCAGAATACTTCTGATTTTGAAGGCAAGACCTGTTAGCATATAGGGCAAGCAGGGGATCAAAATATTTGTCCTCTCTTTGGCTGACAGTTTAAATACTAATATTTGCTGGCATGTCTCAGTTGTTTCTCTCCGCCTTCTCCTTTGCCTGTGTTCCTTCTTCAGTGTTTCGGCAGTCTTTCTGGGTTACTATTGTTGTCTTCATTCCAAGTGTGTCATTTGTCTTGGTTGATAGATAATGTGAGCGTCTTCCCTGAGTTTTCTGTGTTGAACCCAGTAACTTGTTTTCTCAGTCTCCTCTTGTTCCTGGTATAGCACAGCTCTGTTGTCTCCAACTTTAGTTTCTTTAATTTATCTGTAGTTGGAAAAAGAGCGTACCTTTTTCTTTGTCTGATTTGCTTTCATCTACTTCGTAATGGAACTCGGTTCTGAAAAGTCTCATCCAGTAATGGAGGAGGTGCTCTCTGAAAGCTTGGTTGATGCATTGAGGCTGTCTGGTCTATTCCAGCTGAGTGATCCTGTCCTTTAACCTGAAACATTAGTCTGAATGTTACTTCAGTCAATCTTAGTGTCCAGCATAGAGTTATTTTGCTGTTTGCCGTAAAAGTTAGGAGTTGTTCAGGTGGCTGAGCTCTGACTTTGTAACTTTGCCATTCAAATGGGTGACACAATGTCAGACAAAGATTGCCTTGTTTGCTTCCTGGGTATGTGGCTTGTGTGAAAGATGGAAATGAAAGGGGAGCTTTTCCCACAGGAGAAAACTTTGTGGTCCAACTCTTCAATGCTGTTTTTGAATGCTTTGTATTATGGGGTTTCAGTGGTGGGGTTATAATTATTTTAAAATGCACTTGGGTTTGAAAGCCTGGGAGTTATGCATAGACCATGTTCCTGCTCAAGCACATGTAGTCTCTTCTGTTGAAATAAGATGGCTGTAAAATTCCACTGTCCTTAAAGCACCTGTACTCCTTGTAGCCAGAAGAAGCAATTAATTCTGGACAGGATGCCTCAGACACTGATCTATCTTTTTGTAATTCACAACCAGACAGTCTAGTGTTCTGTCCTTGGTTTGCATTATTCCAATAAGTTGCCTGAAGTTACCCAATTGTGTGGCTGTGTGTCATGCTGACATCAGAGCTATTGCTGCATCCTGGACTGCGCCGATGGCATAGGAGCTTAAAACTCCAGGTGGGTGGGGTGCTACTGAAAGTCAGGTGGAGCAGGTGATCACATTTCCAGCCTGGGTTGTTTGATTCTTCTGCCCATGTTCTTCCTTGTACTTGTTGGGGAAGGCCAGTTTATAAGCTGAGTCAGTGCAAGTAGCTTGTGTGCTACCAGAGCAAGAACATGCTGTTAATCCTGCAGCTGGATGGAAAGATCTGTTAAAGGGCAGTTTCCTATTGAGTCACTTAGGCACATCCGATTTGTGGTCTGGGTCCTTTGGGATTATTCTTGTCCAATTTTGACTGGGAAATACAACTCTACAATCAGTCTGCTTTCTCATCGTGTGCATGCAGCTTGGACAGCAGTGAGTGCTATAGGGCTGGCCACATGAGAACCTACTACCCTGCTATCGGCAGCTGGAGGTCACCCAGCAGTGGGCTGATTCAGGAAGAAAGTAAACAGCTCTTGTTGGCACCTACCTTTTTGCAAAGGGCAACTTAGCGCAGCAACTACAAAACAGCGGTTACACACTGGTAAGATGAATGCTGAATCGTAACTTGGCTTCTTTGTGTTCTTACAGTTGCGAATGAGTCAGTGTTAACATGTAAAAACAAAGCAAGGAGAAAAAAGCCAGGAGGGATTAATTTTGTCACTCCTGTGTAAAGTTGGCATCTAGAGCTGTTATCTGAAGGGGTGACTTGGAAGATCTGATTTGCTCACTTCCAAATGCAAAGTGGAGTGTTGGTGTTAGCTTGGCTGTTAGTGTAATGCTAACTCTGTGTACTGCAGTGTAGCTCTGATTCTAAATGGTGAAGATCCCAGCATGTCCCTTTTGAAACTTCCTATATCCCAATCTGAATAAAGAGAGGCAAACTGATGTGGAAAGAATCGCTTTATTGTCTCACAGCATGACTGTTTTGTCTTTTACCCTTTGTGCTACTTACACCGAGCTCTGGAGTTCTGGCCACAAATTTCAACATCTTTTACCTTGTAAGCTGTTCTGAAAGGGGATGGGCCTGGTTTAGCTCTCTTCCATTCCCAGTTTTCTGGCATTTCCAGCTGCGCTCATTGTGCTGGCCTTGTGTTAGGAAGCTTTTCTGAAAGGTGCGTGGAAATGGGGAGCTGCTTCCAGACACTTGTGCTCTAGCACACACGTTCTCTCTCTCTCTCTCTGGGCTGAACACCAGCAGAGGCAGGAGAATCTCCAATTGCCCTTCTGGCTTTAAGTTTTGTGTTTTTTAATAGGTCTCCTGGTGTCTGAACAAAAGGGACTTTTTCTGCTGCTTTCTTTTTTGATATTACAGGTGGCAAAACTCTCGGGCAGGAGAGAATAGCCATGGCATGCTGAAGGCTTCTTGTAATGTGTGTAGTTCACTATGGGGAGGGCTCTCAACTTAACAGAGGAATAAAGTTCAGTCCCTCCCAATTTGCTCTTGATTTTGTTTGGGCCTGACCCAATCTTTGTATCCCTGTTGGGTTGTTCAGAAGTAAGAAATCTTATGGTACAGCTGTTTCCTTTTGGTTGAGAGCCCATGTCTTGGGAGGGAGTCTCACAGTTATGGGCTAAAGGTAGACCTGAACAATTGCAGCAGATAAGGATGAACTGTGGGCTGGGCTCGCTTATTGTATGCAACATCCTTTTCAGAGTTGACCTGTTTGGTTTAAGGGATCCTGAAAGTAAGTGCAGGGTGGGACATCTTAAGGCTACTTGTCCAAGGATATCCTGGATCTTTGGTCTGTAATCACAATACTTTTCTGATTAGCTATGTAGCTGTGAGACTGGCG